ATGTTATCATCTGGTCATAATTCCCAATGATGTTATTTAAAATCTGTGTCAGCAATTTTCAAAAGAATAATATGTCATGCATTTTGTGTTAATGTTGCTCTCTGTCTACACATGAGCCCATCAGCACTCATGCTCCTTGTAATTAGGCTTATCTGTCCTATGGACAATATTTCTGGAAGCTGTCGCCATCTTCCGGACCATGATGACAATATTCTTCTCTGTGTCTCTGTGACTTCTAGTCTGTAACGTCTCAGGTATAAGTAGGGTATGTAGTGTATCTTTCTATCCCTAAGCAAAGTGGCCCCATGATTTATCTGTGGTGTTGCGAGTAGCAGGAGGTCCCTCTGTTTGCCTTCTGGGTGCAAACTACACTTCATTTGTCTGTATTTATCTGCTGTTGTTCACTTGGTTCTGGATTGTGCTTGCAATTTCCAAAGCTGGAAATGCACACATCACTCTGATATTGATTCTGCTTCATTCATCTGTTTGGCCAACCTGGATACTGGGGCACATAATAGTCCAAAAAAAGAAAAGCTCTCTAGAGTTTTCATGTCATTTTCCACAGTGGTTATACTACTTTATTTACATTCCTCCTAATAGTACACAAGACTTCCCTTATTTTTTTTGTTTTGCATCATCACAGACCAATACAACTTTTCAATATCATTCAATATCTTTTTGTGGTTCTTTAAATATATTTTACTAATTCTTTTGAAAATGTATTATAATAATTGATTCATCCACTCCACTCACTCACTGTTCTACTTCTCCCAATTTCATAGCCCAGTTTGAATTGTCCATACATGAATGGGTTTGGAGACATCCATGGGTACATGCTTGACCTACCAGGGGTCAAACTCTCCACTAGACTCTGTCAACTGCACTTAAGTCCAAAGTTAGGTTTTGCAACCTCATGAACTTTTCCTCCTTCTGTGTTGGAATGCTTACTGGCTTTATCTATACTAACCATGGGTTCCTGAGTGTGTTGTCCTATCAGGACTTGCAGACAATGTTTTGTTCATGTCCTCCCTGATATCTAAATCTTATAATGTTTCCACATTCTCATCCATGATTGTCCCAAACCTTTGGGGCAGTTGATATAGATGTCCCATGTGTGGCTGAGCACAGCACTGAAACTTGTTTCCTATGTTCTGATCAGTTGTGAGTTTCTGCATCAACTACTTTGCAATACACAGACCAAAAAAAAAAAAAAAAACCCTGCTCTGATGAAGTCAGAGAGCAATGCTGTTCATATAGAGACACAGTGTAGGGGACTACTTTGACACTGTGCCCACTTTGCAAAGTAATTGCAGTAGATTCACCTCCAAGGCCTGGGACCTCCTTTTTCCCTTGTTCCTTGGTAGTGTTTCAGTATCAGGTGTATGTTTCCTCCAGTGAAGCCATGCTGCAGTCCAAGCAGAGAGGTGAGTCACCTTCATAACGTTTGTGAAACTCTTGCTACCATGAAATCCCTAGTGGTATGTCTTGCCACTCCAGTGCTTGTAGTTCAGTGTTTATAACTGCCTAAAACTGTTGCTGAAATTTCCTAATAAGTATATGCCTGACTTCTCTGTGTCTGTTAACAAATGTCTGTGGTATCATAAGCAATATGTATTTCTTTATTTGTTTTTAGACAGAATCTCCATATGTAGCTCTAGAAGACTTGGAAATCCTTAAGTAGGCCAGGCTGGCATGGAACTCACAGAGATCCACCAACCAGCCGCAGTCTCCCAAGTGCTAGGACTAAAGTTGTGTGCTATAATACCATTATTGCCACCACATTCTTATGAGGAACCAAGAGTAAGTAATAGCACTGACCTGTATTATTTAAGGGTTCTCCAGGACACCCCCCACCCCCGTCAACAACTAGAGGAGAAGTGACACACACTAACTCTGGGCTTTTTGTTTAACAATCTGGATCCTGACATAAACATAATCCCCTGTAAGAGCAATCCTAAATGATTTTATATGAAAATGATGTGTGTGTGTGTGTGTGTGTGTGTGTGTGTGTGTGTGTGCGGTGTGGTGTGCCTTTGTGTGTGTCTTTGTGTGTGTCTGTGTTTGTAACTTATAAAATTACATATGGCTTTCTCAAATGTCCTTGATTTTAGTTAGTTCTCCTCTACCCTTTCTTCTTTCCCAATACCCATCCATGTCCTCACCTAAACCTCCTGCTCCATTTATCCACCTTTCCTCATTTCACCTTTTTCTATGATTCTCCCCTCCTCCTTAAGATCTTTCTGCCCACTTCCCACCAATGATGATTTCTAGCTTCCTGATTTCTGTTGGATCCTCGAATCCAAATTGAGCAGACAAAGTTGGAGATCTGATGCTTAGTCCCACTTTCTGGATGTGGGGTTACCTTCACAAGTATGCTTTCTGGTTCTAGCTGATTGCCTCTTTCTTTATGGCTGGACAGCATTGCATCACATATAGCCACCACATTTCACCCTCCATTCAGCTGTTTCCGTATCCTGGCTATTGTGAACAGAGAAGTGATGGACATGGCTGAGCATATATCTCCGTAGTAGAATACAGTCTATTGGATAGATGCCCAGGAATGGCCATCATACTCTGAAGTCTGTCTCTACACGCTTTAAGATCTGACATTGGTTCACTCTTGCTTTGAGCCATCTGTATATTGTATCTGGATCTAACGTGTTTTCTCCCTTTTGGTATATCGTCTCTTCACTCTGTAAATATTTTTCTTTTCTATACTGAAGATTTGAGGTTTGGAACCTCATTTGTCTATTTTGTCTGTGCTTTGGGGATTTTAGGTTCCTATTCCTTTTCAATACTTAAAGGAAAAGCAGAGACCCTCACAGTCAATTTGGCCTGTGATTTGATTGCAGTGTAGCAGGTGGCAGGCAGATCCACTAACTCCGTTTCCCTCTCCTCCTATCTCCCACCCTTGAAACAGCGTGTTAGCAATTAGCATCTCAGATTAAGAGGGCCACAGAACATTGTGCCAGACTGTCAAGTTGTTCCTTCTCTGCTACCCAAGTTCTAATCATTATCACTTTGGTTCCTTCACATTCATTTTTATTAAGGTCTACTAATTGTTATTTTCTTCTGTTATCTCCTTGAGACTGAGACGTAGTATATTTTATTTATTTCTGCCCATCAGATTCCTAGAGTATGACATAGTATCTGTTCAATGTGCATATGTTCAGGAGTAATGAAAATATAGAAATTCAAGTAAAGACAGGTAGATAGGAAGTAAACTGTAACAGATATGTAATAATTGGTTTTAAGACAAAATTGGTAGATTTATATAATTTGTTAACTATAGTTTAGATGTTGAAATAAAATCTAATCACCAGGGGTTATGGGAGAATGACTACAAATTTTAAAGGTCTTTGGAGACAGTCATACTGGCAATGGGACAGAATTATGTGTGATTTCAACACATTTTATCTTAAAAGCTCATATTTAATATCTATCATTTTTTTCAAAATCTGTATTACAGAAGGCCAGTTGTTCTTGGCATGTGGTATAAAGACAGATTTTTGGACTAATAAATTGGAAATTCCATGTACTTCACACTCTCTTAAATAGGCACCAGTTTGTATATTAATTCTTATGAAGCTGAAATTTTCCTTCAAGATGGAAAGGTACTTAGGTCATTAATCCATGAATTTTGCCAGTTGGGTTGACTCAGAATTAATGACTTTTTGACACCTTCAGGACTATCACCAGAAAGAGTAGCATGGAATTGTGGGATGATTTATCATGAGGCTTGAGAAATACTAATTCCAATATCCCTTGTGAGATGCCTCTGTTCCATCAGCAGGAAAGGAAGTATGCTTATTTCTTCCCTTATATTTTATCTATTATCGACTTCATGGATCTTCATGGATTGCTGTCATCTCTTCCCCAAAGATTCCTGCTTTTACTCATGTTCCCTCAAAATGTATCTGGGTAGAATTGCTTCCTATAACAGCTGACCAGTGGGACAGCGAAACACTCCAGCTGTCCACTCAGATGGTAGGCAGAGAAGAATTCGATGTCCTCAGTGTGATGGTGGCCTCACACATTACCTTACCCTCTAACATGTACGGTGTTTCATACTCCTGTCAAACTGCCATGCTGGCCTGCCTATGCCCTATCACTGGTTCCAATAATCAGGCTTCCTGTTTTTAGGTTTGTGTCTGGAGCCAAACAGTCTTTCATCTAATTCTAGGATGAATGTATTGCTCTTCCCTAAGATAAATGATAAATGCTTCTGTTTCTGTAAGATATATTTCTGAATGTTCTAGGGGGTATGGTGAAAGTTGATGGTTGGAATATAGGTCCTTTGCAGAGACATTTTCTTGGACTCTTTCTTTCCTTGCTTCTGTAAAGCATTTAGTCACATAATTCAGAGTCCAACATTCACTCATATGTATATTCCTGTTTAATCCATAAACCTTCCTTGGATGCTGAAGCAATTAAGGGCACCAGTTGCTATTACAGAGGACCCAAGTTCAGTTCTGAGCACATACATGGCAGCTCACAAAACATCTGTAACCCAGCCTCTTTTTCTGAATTCTAGGGCTATTGTATATACATTGTATGCAGATATACATGCAGGTAAAACACCCATGAACACTAAATAAATAAATAAATAAATAAATAAATAAATACCTTTAAAATTTTTTGACTACTACCTCTACTTTCTTCTTCTTCTTCTTCTTCTTCTTCTTCTTCTTCTTCTTCTTCTTCTTCTTCTTCTTCTTCTTCTTTGTATTTTTTGAGGTGACCCTTAAGGTTTGCAAGATGACCTCTCAGCATAATCTTTAGAGAGTTCAATCATATCCTCATTTGTGTAGCAAGGTCAAGGTTAGCCTGGACTACCTGTGACCTACTCTAAAATTTCTGTAACTATCATCACACAAGACAGTCTCCTGTGTATTACTGGGTATGCTACATTGTTAGAGCTAAGTGACAGCATTAGATCATCTGTTGGTGTCCTCCTTCTGTTGGTAATTTTGGACTGTCTTCTTCTTGGTGCTGTCTAGGGTTGGTGCAAATGTGCAGTTCTCCTGTGAGGACAATTATGTACTCCAAGGTGCCAAGGGCATCACCTGTCAAAGAGTCACCGAGACCCTTGCAGCATGGAGTGACCACCGACCCATCTGCCGAGGTAAGGTGGCCCAGACTCTCCCCAGGCCAGGATATTCTCCTGAACACAGGGTGAAGTTTAAGTGGAAGGCATGGTTAGTAGCAAGGGAAGGATTTGGTAATATGTGTGTCTTCATGATGATGTGGGTCAGAAGAAAGTTCCTCAAGGTTTGGTAGGATGTGATTCCTCTATGGATACTAAAGTTTTCATGGTATGATAGCTATGAGTAAATCTGATACACTGAGCTCACACAAACACATATGCATATGCAGAGGAGCACATATACATCATATGTTGGTAGTTCTATTCATATGTGTGCAGTGTACACATTTTTATGCACATGAAAACCTTAAACAAACCTTACACTCCTAGCCCTTTGGTGGCACTGTGAATGCAATGAGTAACGGTAAAAATTTTTCACCATGGTCTCAGATCTCCATTTATTAACCAAAGGTCTTTCATATCATTTACATTTATTTAATTACATATGTATGTGTGTGGATATGTCTCAGCTCACAAACCTGCCATGGTTCCTGTGGAGGCCAGGATAACTTTGAGAAGATGGTCATCTCTTTCCAACATTATGGTGGTACTTCGGTCATCAGTGTAGTAACTGCCACACTGTCTTGCCAGCTCATAGTATATTCCTTAAACTACACTATGATGTGGTTTACCAAAGAAAATAGTGACTATCACCATAGTCAACTTTCTTCAAATGATATATATGAAATTAAACAGAAATAAAATATCAATATTCTTCTTTTATGAGATATATGAATCCTGCCTAAATCTTAGAAATCATAGAGCCTAACAGAAAATTGACTTAACTGCTATGAATGAAAAATATTTTGAAATTAAAAGAAAACTAGGTTTGGACTTTATGTCATTTTTTGCATCTATCTCATAAAATAACCTGTATGAACTGATAGGTTTTAAAGAAAAATAAAGTACTAAGTGGACCATAGAATGTTCCATAAATAACGTCTTACCCTTCAATGTAGACATTTAGTCAGTTATCAGTTTTGTTCATGTGTGTACATAGGTGTGTTTACCCATGCATGCATGCATGGAGATCAGAGTTCAATGCTGAATAATGTTCCTAATAGTTCTCCACCTTAATTTTTTTTATTATGGGGTCTATTTGAGCCACCCTTTCATGCTTCCTTGGGATATGTGTGACTTTGTACCTCAGTATTGGGTTCTAGACCTGCCAGGCCTGACTTTTACATGGATCCTGGGGGGTCCATAAACTTAGCACCAGAAGATTTTTTAACACTAAGCCACCTTCCCAACCCCTGACCCTTATAACGTTTTAAAAGGATGGCTGGATTTTGTGTTGTTGTATTTATAATATTTTTCCACACACAATGCCCGCACTGATCAACAGTCACAGCAACAGTTTACAAAGGGCCCTGCCCGAGCACTGCCTGCCAGAGAAGCCCAGTTGACTCTTCCTTGTGGATGTTCATGGCTTTTTTTTTTAATATCATGTTTTGAAAGAAAACACTTCAGTCCTTTGAACTGGGAAGTCCTGGTAGATAATATGAACAGTAAATGATGGCCCTGTGCTGTGTATTTTCAAAGATGGAATGACAGAAATCATGAGCTATCTCATGCCTGTGGTCCTGGGACAGAAGAGGCAGAGGGAGGAGGATGCTACATTGTAGGGAAGCCCATAGGCTAACCCTGATTTGACTGTCACTCACCCAGGAAGACAGGTATAGAAACATCCCAGCACCCCAACAGTAAGGGATTGCTTTAATTGCTTTTTGGCTCTGTCAGTTAGATATATTTTGATTTAATTATCCCCTTTAACATTCTAGAATAATGTTCTTTTCTACCTGGAGCAATTTCTTGGGATAGTTTCCTAATAGAGGATACAGTTCACTGGCATTTGCTACAGCAAACAAGATAAAACCTTCAGTACCTTTTAATTTCATGTTGTTTTCCACAGTGGCTCACAAAGACTGAGCCACCAACCAAAGAGTATGCGGGGCTGGACCTAAACACCCTAGCAGATGTGCAGCGTGGTCTTCATGTGAATCCTCTAACAATTGGGGCTGGGACTGTCTCTGACTCTGTTGCCTGCCTTTAGAATCACTTTCCCTAACTGGACTGCCTGGTTGGGCCTCACTGGGAGAGAATATGCTTAGTCCTACTGCAACTGGATGTGCTAGTGTGGGTGTACTCAAGGGAGGCTTCCAGTTCTCTGAGGAGATGAGAGAGGGAAATGGGGAAAGTTATTTGTAAGGGTGGGACTGGAAGGAAAGGTGGTAGGGGGATGTGATCTGGATATAAAGTAAATCAATCAATCAATAAATAACAACAACAACAAAAACAACAACAAAAATATGGCTAAAAAATGAGCCAGTGAGTCAGAGTATTTATTGCTAAATCTTCCCATAGGAATTCCGTCCTTCCATGTGATAGAAAGAAAGAACTGACTCTCACAAGTTGTGCCCTGACCTCCACAGGTCTACTGTGGTACCTATATACCACTCTCCAAAATAAATAAATTACATGCAATACAAATTTAAAAGAAAATATTAAACCACTATATATCTCATACTGGTAGATTTTATAGTAGATCAGCACACACACACACACACACACACACATACACACACGCTCATATGTTCTTTCAATATTTGAAAAAAAAAGCCAAACAAGACTAATGTTAACCCATTTTATGGTAAAATTTCTAATTAAGCAGAGTTGGAAAGCATTTAATATTTTAAGTAAATAGAAAGTCTAGATATAAAGTTTCTTCAGATTCAACTACATATTTATTAAGTGAATCCTTGTCTTTAATACTTTAACATGCATTTCCTGCATTCAATTAATTCCACTTATTTATTTATTCTCAAATTCAATTAATGTAACATAGTGCCTGCTGGCAGAGGGCTGGGATGTTTCTGTGCCTGTCTTCCTGAGTGAGTGACAGTCACATCAGGGTTAACATATGGGCTTCCCTAAAACATAGCATTCTCCACACTCTGCTTCCTCTGTCCTGAGATCACAGGTGTGAGATACCTCATAATTTCTGTGGTTACACTTTTGAAAATATACAACACAGGCTCATCATTTAGTGTACAAGTTATCTACCAGGACTTGCTAAGTAATGCCTACTATCTGTTGACTCTTTTCTCCTCTCCCCTGGCTGGCCTGTTCTCTCCTGCTTTTAGCAACTGCTACTTTGCCCTCTGGAGAAAAGTTCAGTTCATCCTAGAGTCCAGATGTGAAAAGAGCTACCTAATGTTCTGTGCTTGTGTACATGTCCCTTACCAGTCTCCCAGCTCTATCCAGAGGAGTGATATGAGCCTTCCATGCCTTTGCATCTACTGAGAGGACAGGATGTGTGGTCTTCAAATTCTTGGGAACCCTGAAGATGAGGCAAAAGTGAGAAAAGGCCTCCTCAGTCATGTGCATTATACCTGGCAGTGGCTGAGCACTCAGACTTTGTGGCTCCACCAGGTCCTCTCAGCCTGTTTTCTGTGGCATAACTTGTCAATGGGGCCATGTGGTCACATTCAATGCTGTTCCACTTCTGATAACTCCAGCAGCTTTTTCCAGATGTGAAGTATCTCTTGCCATCTGAAAAGGCAAGATGTTTCAACATTAGTTAGTTTAGGTGCACTCTCTCTCTCTTTATTAGCAACACTTCATTATAACCAGAGAAAAGAAATGATAGATCAGGTTCCCACATGGCCTGTACATCTCAGCTTGATATCCAAGTTTGTCAATTCTGCTTCTGCTTTTGACCTGATGGTGGCCCTATAAGATGAGCACTTAGCAGTCTGGGGCCTCTTGATCTCAAAACCAAGGATATTGTGGGCTACATAGCAAAACCTTGCCTCAAAATCATTGATAAAATCCTGCTTTCAGCATGGCTTACCCTGTCTCTGAGCTCTGTAAAATCCTTCAATCACTGATTTCTTCCAGTTCAAAGCCACCAAGGTTTTCTCCACTTCCTCCAGTGGGCAAGAGAGAGCAGGGCCAAGGAGGGGAGGGAAGAGGAAGAAAGAGGATGATCAACAGGTTTCCTCAAGTTCTTGCTGCTCCCACCCCTGCCCATGTTAAAGCTGTCATCCACTGTTTAATAGCAGCACACCTCGGGTCACACAGCAGACTCTGGATAAACCACATTCAAACAGAAAATAATGCCAGGAGGATGGGGATGAGTCTGTGTGTTTGATTCCTGGCCCTGTTTCACAGAGGCATCAGCTTGCTCTCTAATGACTAAGTGCAGAAAGATAGAAGGATAGACAGCATAAGGGACAGCAAACAGGCTCGACTCCTAGGGGCCCAAAGTACCTTTTATCTGCTGACCAAGAGAGATTGTTATTTTATTTTATTTTTTGGAAAGACTTGTAAACAACTCTCTTGATAGGTTACCAACCACAGACCAATGAGAAGAGAGAGCCCAAGGCTAGCTGGATGGAGAACAGAATCATTGGGCTTACTTATAGGAACATCGATGACTCCCAGATTTATAGTGAGCAGAATGAGGCCATTCAGGAGAAGAAACCAGAAGTTTTAAACTCAGAATCACTTTATCCCCTCCCCCATGTTTGGACAGGTTCGTAGCTCCTGCACAATGTCATGTCAGCTGCCTTAGTTAGGGTTTCACTGCTGTGGACACCATGACCAAGGCAACTCTTATAAGGACAATATTTAACTGGGGCTGGCTTACAGCTTCAGAGATTCAGTCCATTATCATCAAGGTAGGAGCATGGCAGCACCTAGGCAAGCATGGACAGGAGGGGCTGAGAGTTCAGTATCTTGTTCCAAAAGGAAACAGGATAAGCCTGGCTTCTAGGCAGTTAGGACAAATGTCTTAAAGTCTACTCCTACAGTGACACTTCCTCCAACAAGGCCACATCTCCAAATAGGGCCACTCCCTGGGCTAAGAATATTCAAACCATCACATCAGCTGATTTCACCTGTCTAGACTTGTTCTGAGGATGTTACATGCCCCGTATAACACACACACATACACACACACACACACACACACACAG